TGCACAATCAACCAAAATATTCGTTTGTTTTCTTGGAATATTTGTTTCATATCTTGTTTTTGGTATTGTACAAGAATCAATGTAAGATTTTAAAAAAAAAAGATTTTGTAGAATATTTAATTGCAGAAAGAGAATTGATTTTTTAGAGTCAAAGGAACCTATGGAAAAAATGATAAATTTACATTTATTTTATCACTTGTTTTTTTCCTATGTGCCTTTAATGCCATTGTATCTAAAACAGGTAAAAATGTTCATTGGAATATTTTAGTTTAAAAAAAATTCTTTGAATAGTTTTGGTTGTTCGAAAAACTAATCGAGATTCAACACCTACGAAAATGTATGCATTTTCATCATTTACATATTTATTTGCAATGCTTTCAAGTAATTATGCTTTAGAATTTGTGAGTTATCCTATGCAGGTAAAATTTTATTTTATTTTATAATTTAATTTATGTAAATTCTTTTTCTTTACAAGGTTTTAGGAAAATCAGTAAAACCTGTTCCAGTTATGCTATTGGGTGTGCTAGTAGCAAGAAAACGATATCCATTAGAGAAATATTTTTATGTTTTATTAATTGTTGCTGGTAGGAAAAATTAATTAATATTAAAATATTTTGATTATTATGAATTTTAGGAGTAGTTTTATTTATGTACAAAGAGCCGAAAGAGACAACAAAATTAGTTGAAGCAGGTGCAATATTTGGTATTGGAGAATTTCTTTTGGTATGTTATCTATGACAAATTGACATATTTTCGAGTATACAAAAGGACTGACAAATAAAAACACTTGATCTCTTATGAAATGTAATTTCTACTATTATAAGATCAAGTTTTTGAATCAATTTCTTTTCTAATAGATAGAGTTAAATGAATGCAACTAAATAGAAATCGTTTTTATTCTGAACACATTCTACTGTAAATGAAGACAAAGAAGAAATTCATTCCGAAATGAAATCATATCTAACTAGATTTTAATCGTTTGTAAAAATTCAATAGAAAAATAGTATCATGATCTGAAATTCTCAGACTATGTTTCTAGATGTTCATAGCTTAAGTAACCATAAATCATTTTGAATTATTATTGGATTTCTACTATAGTTAAAATATCCATACAATAGCAATATTCTATATTTTTTTTTTGCATAAAGTACATACCGTTTGTTATTTCATTATTTGAATTCGTTTTGATTATGATTAATTGTATGCTGTAAATCGAGCATATCAATAAATACAAAAATCAAAGTTTTTTTCATAACGAGTCTATTGTTCCATCATAAGCTACATATTTAATAGGTTTTTTGTGTGTCTCCAGTTATGGAGGAGTATTTTCAAAATAAAAATATCTCTATCTATTAAGTTTTCGTAAACTCTATCTATTACATAAATAATTGAATTAAAAAAAACTGTTACCGCAAGTCTTGCGAGATTAAAATGTGAAACACGATGTAGCTACTGCTGCTAGTCACAGAGAGATTGCTTTATTTTATCTATTTTGTGACACATTTTTTAACTATTGCCTTATTTAATCTTTCAGAAATGCAAAAAGGAAATAGGTCAAATATTATTACCAGACGTTATAGATATACGGTCTATGAGGAGGATATCCAAATTTTTACCTCTACACTTTTAGATCATATTAAAAAGCAATTTAATTCTAGAGGAGCAGGAATCATATCGAAAAAAGGGATACATTTTTTTTGTGGACTATTCTGTAACAATGAGAATGAGATATGGATTATAATAGGACTGATAATACTTTTTTTTTTTATTTGACAAATAAGTCATGAGAATCGAATAAATGTTTTTTCTTTTGTTGCATATGTCGATGATTATAGGTCACAATATTTTTCTATTAGATTGACATACAAGCTGCTATTCATGCAATAGACGTGAATTATATTCTGATTCAATCTACATATGAATCTCATAGGAAATGAAGTCTTTTGTCTGATTAGAACATACTAGTATATCCTCAGCTACTCGGTTTTTTTTTAAAATTAATCGCTGAAGGCATAAAATTCTTTTGAAAATTACTAAAGTATTATATAAATAATTCTAGATTTTATTGTTTTCATACAAACTAAATGAGTTCGTTGGTTTTCAATTAAAACATTGTTCTTTCGTGAGATTTCACATTGAGAAAGTTTGTTTTTAATGTGATTTTCTAAAGGACGGCACCAGATGTTGGAATTTCCTATTGACAAAGATTTTGTGATTTATTTTAAAACACACACAAAAAAAAATATCAACGTTAATTATTCATAAATTGCACTAGATAAACAAATTTAAATGAATGTTTTTTTATACAGTTTGTTTCACTTGTATTCGATGGTTTAACGGGTGGTATACAAGATAAAATTCGTGATAAACATAAAGTAGAAGCTTATCATATGATGTTTTCAATGAATATATGGTCATGTGTATGGGCATCTATTGGTATATTTGCAACAGGTGAATTTTATGGTTTAATTGATTTTCTTCAAACTTATCCATATGTTATTTCAAATATGATTTTACTTGGTTTAACTGGTGCAGTGGGACAAGTAAATGAAAAATTCATTTAAATTATTATTATTATTTTGTTTTATTTTTCTTTTTTAATTTTTATAGAATTTTATTTTTCTTACTATTGAATGGTTTGGTCCATTGACATGTTCAATATTTACAACGACACGTAAATTTTTTACAATACTTTGTTCAATATTTATTTTTGGAAATTCAATAACAATTCGTCAAATGTTTGGAACAGTACTTGTTTTTCTTGGACTTTTTCTTGAACAATTATATGGGAAAAAAAAACATTAATAGAAATTTTGTTTTTTTTTATTATTCAACTAAATATTATTTTTATTGTTATTCATATTAATTGAATTGAGTTGACTTTTATTTTTAATTTTCGTTGGTAAAAGGAACAAGGTTGAAGAGAAAAAATAAATACTAACTCATCCTTCTAAGGGTACTGTACTCGTCTACAACGTTCTTGATCATCAGTTGCACATATGTGCTTGTATTGACAAGAACGAAAGGAGAAAAAAAAGAACAGAAGAAAAATATTTATCGTACGAAACGCGTAATAGAAGCAAAAAAGCAGTTTTACATTACAAAAAAAAAAGAGACAACAAGGTAACACACAACAAATGAATTCTGTGTACCATATTATCGTTCGTCGACTATCAACTCAACAAAATCATTATAAATTAGTCATCATTGGGTCTGGATGTGGTGGTCTAGCTTGTGCATCGAAATTTGCCAAAAAACTACCAAAAGATAATATTGCTATTATTGATAAGACTGAGGTACGTTTGAATCATAGACTATTTATGTATCCTTGCTAATATAATATTTTGATTTTACCTTAAGATACACACTTATCAACCCGGTTGGACATTAGTCGGTGCAGGACTAAAAACAGCTGAAGAAGTTGAAAAACCACAAACACAATGTATTCCATCAAATACAACTTGGATTCAATCGAATGCGAATCAAGTTGAACCAGAAAAAAACCATGTTCAATTAGACAATGGACGAAAAGTACAAAGATTTTTTATTAAGATTATTCCAAAAAAAATAAAATAAAATTTTGTTTTTCTTTATCTTTATAGATTACCTATGATTATTTAATTGTTGCTGCTGGTATGCAAATAAATTTCAATAAAATAAAAGGAGCTATTGATGCATTAGACAATGATCCACAACATGTAGTTAGTATTTACACTCGAAAATATGTTACTAATGTTTATAATGCACTAAATAATCTTCGTGCTGGTAACGCAATATTTACATTTCCAGCTACAACTATTAAATGTCCTGGAGCACCACAAAAAATTATGTATCTTGCTGAAGATTTATTCCGAAAAGTAAGAAAAAAAGTAATTGTTTATGCATAATAAATTTTCTAATTTAGAATAATGTACGTGATAAAATTACAGTTACGTATAATACTTCATTGCCAGTTATTTTTGGTGTTAAAAAATATGCAGCTGCTTTAATGGAAGTCGTTAAAAAACGGTTAATTATAATTAAATTATATATTTCCACATCAATAAATTATTGTTTTTTTTGTAGAAATATTCAATTAAATACTCGATTGAATCTTGTTGAAGTACGGAAGGATTCAAAAGAAGCTATTTTCGAAAATCTTGATCAACCGGGTACTATGAAAACATTTAAAGTAAACAGATAAAATTATTTATTTATTTATTTATTTTTGTTAAATATTTAATATCTAGTATGATTTATTACATATTGGTGCTCCAATGCAACCACATGAATTTTTAGCAAAATCTCCATTAGCTGATGCAAGTGGTTATGTTGATGTTGATAAAGAAACATTACAACATAAGAAATTTCCTAATGTTTTTGCTATTGGTGATTGTACTAATATTCCAACAAGTAAAACAGCTGCTGCTGTTGCTGGATCAAATGATATTCTTGTTCGAAATTTAAGTAATTTAATGTTTGGTAATTCGGACAAAGTTCCAAAAGTACATTTATTTTTCTATTATATTCGAAAATAAAAAAAAGTTATTTGTTTTCTTTTTCTTTCGTCACAGTATGATGGTTATACAAGTTGTCCATTGTTGACCAGTTATGGCAAATGTATTCTAGCTGAATTTATCTTTGATGGAAAACCATTAGAAACATTTCCTGTTGATCAAGGAAAAGAACGTCGAACTGCATATATATTAAAAAAAGATATCATGCCATCGCTATATTGGAACATGTTAATCAAGTGAGATTTTATTGTTATTCTGATATTTGATTCATAATCTGGTTCGCTTTTTTTTTAAATAGAGGTACATGGAATGGACCAGCAACATTCCGTAAAATGTTTCATCTCGGCATGTCTAAATAAATATTACTTGTTCAATGAAGAATACACTTAAAGATTGCTTTTATTTTTTAGTGCAAACTTCTAATTTATTATTCATTTTTATTTATTTCAAATATCATTTAGTTTTTTTTTTAAATGAATTAAATAAATAGAAAGACTTATTTAGTCTTTAATAAGTTTTTCCATACGAAGAAACATTTTCAAAATTATTGGTTTGATTTAGAATTGAGAATGTTTACAATGTTCAGACACATCTCAATGATGATTTTCAACACAAAAAAGTTCTGTGAACAAGATCTTTGGTAGGAAACTGCAAGTCTACATTTTTGTGGAATAGATGTGAACTCAGCTCGGATCTGGCTGGATCCAAGTCTGGAAGGACCCTTACCTTCGTAAACTTCGATGTTTTAGATTATATTAATTAAATGAAACTTGAATTCTACTTGAATTTTATTTTATACATGTAAAATATTTTTCTATTAAAAATAGAAAGGATGTCAATTATAAAAGTATATTAAATTCTTGTTTTTCTCTTATTGACAGATCTTTTGAAACGTATTATCCAATTTCGGACAGTATTGATACATTTAATTTACTATGTCTCATCAATAAAAGTGCCATACACATAATTATCAAAACAAAAACGGAAATAAAGATGTACTTTGATAATGAGATAAGATCCATTTTTAACGAGAAGAGTGCTCTCTCTTGAGATCCGATTATAATCATGTCACAGTAAGATAATTGAAATGATGCCGCATAGGAAATTTTAATAAGCAAGTTCTATTCAATACGGCATTATTCGTAGAGAAGTCTGAATTATGATATGTTATCCAAAGAAAATAGGATCATCTGAAAAAAAATTCAAACGAGCAACTTCTAATCATCTTTCTGAAGACGAATTCAACAAAAAACATCAGACTTGGAAGCAATCAGATGGATATGTATTGTATAAATTTTCATTTTGCTGTTGGATTCAATGTAGGATCAGAATATTGATTATTTATCAATAATAAAAGTTAAACTTCTTGTTACAATTCATAACATTTATTCAACTATAATCTGGTAATATTTAAAGAAATCGAAGAAGTACGTTAAAGTTATAAGAAAATTTATTTGATGTATATGTTTTTATTTCAAATTGTTTTATTTTTTGGTTAGATCAATATATGATCGTTTGAAGTTGTAATAAGTTTTGTCAAAGATTGAAATACATATGCCTCGAAATAGTTATAATTGATTTTTTACCTTTTTAAAATTTCTCATCTTCTTGCTAGTTTTGTCAGATTATTATACGTTATCATAAGGAATCACCTAGAACATCTATTCAAATCCGTAGCAAATATCATACTTGCAATCTGGTAAATTAAAGCATATTTAAAAAGCTATTTCTTTAATTTGAATATTAACGTATATACAGCGAGACAGCTTTATCGATATTTCATGATTGATTACGATAAGAAACAATACAAAAATATTTTTCTCGCAATAAACAAAACTTTTAACTACTCAAAATACAATCGGTTTTAACGCAAATAATGATCTCACTTACGACGCAAGTCGTTCAAGTGATAGATCGCTTTTGAGTCGAGACTATGTACATCATGTAGATTCAAATGAAATATAAATACCCTGAAAAGAATTCAGACCCTTAGCTTATCACTGCTGAGATAGCGCATTTTGTACGATATTTTTCAAATGAATGTTGTGGTCTCCTCTTCCAAGGGAGGAAAAAACGAGACTTCGAAGTAAGAGTGAAGTACAATACTTCAGCAGTACTTCAGGATATCGAAGTTTCACATTATCTCCCTCGAATTCGTCTGTGAAACGCCAGAAAAGTTGATTGTCAAATTTCGACTCGAACTTTGCATAAACATAGGTCTTAACGAGAATAGTTTATTGTGAAAGTTTCAGGTCTTTTGACTTGCTCCTATTCTAATATACGAGTATCAAATCTGCCACTTTATATGAGCGATATGAAAGACATAGATATTAACATAGTTGTATCTTAGGATAGGAGCAACGACAATATCTAAAACTATTCTCATTAAGATCTGTCTCTATACAAAGTTTCAAGTCGAAATTTGAAAATTAGTTTTCTTGGTGTTCTTGCATTCATTGAAAAACTACAGTCGAAGTGCAATATCTCCATAGTAATAAGCTAAAGGCACAAACTCTTTTCACAATATTCATAGCTCATTTGGATCCATATGATACACATAATCTCGACTCAAAAGTTTAAGTACTTTCCTCATTAGTCATTGAAAATCATTTGTAAACAATGCTACAGAAATATCAAAATACACACAATGAGAGAGATAATAAAGTATAGAAAGTGAAAGCATAGAAAATCCAAATCCTTTTTAATCATAGATTTTTCTTTCACAGTTGTACATGCATGGCATATTACATTTATCAACTTCTCCGGTAATAGTGTGTGCTCGGCACATAGAGGATTTGATTCTATCTTATTCTCTTATTATTTCATAGATCATATAAAATAATCTTGACATCAACCATGTGTATGTATTTATATATCATAGTGAATATATTCACAAAAAGTTGCTCAACTACAAAAAAATATAGAACACGTAGATACTAGAAAAAAACAATTCTACTTCGTAGAGAAACTAGCACAAAAAGATTACATATATATATATATATATATAAAATATAATGAAAAATTCAAAGTTTTATACATCTTGGAAAGAAAAAAAATATTCTCAAAAAAAAAAAAAAAAAAACTTTCACTAGAATGACTCTATGAAAGGAAAAAACAGAAAACAATAAATGCACCATAAAATTAGTGCAAAAAAAAACTAAACTTATGAAAAAAAAGAATAGAAAAGTGGCAAATAAGCGCACATATTCATACAAAAAAAAAAAAAGTAGAAAAATTTTCGAAATGTAAACAAAAAAAGAGAAAAATACAAATTGTTTATCAAATTACAAATAGAAAAGACGATCAGCAAGTTCAGGATTAAAGTCCTGATGTAAACTTTGACCAACAAGAAACGCTAATTTATGTGCATATTGACAAACAGCTGGCACACGAATAGTTCCTGGCCAACTATAATTAAATAAATTTCAAAAATATTTAATTAAGCAAAAAGAAAACATCAAAATATAAACTAACTTATAATATAAATGAGTAAGTTTAAAAGTAAGACGTTGCATATGATCCACTTTGAAACTAAAAAAAAAAATAAATATTTATAATAAGAATATTTTAATATTCCGAGAAAAGAAAAAAGAATTTTACTTTGTTCGATCCCAAATAACATTGTAATGTGTTGGCGCTACTGTTCCTTGTCGAGCACATTGAGAAATTAAATAAAAATCATACCATTCAGCTAAAGAAAGAAAAAACTTTAATCTATGAAAAAAAAGAATGAACTCACCATTTGTAACTGTATGATCAATAATTGTACCCGGCGGAGGATTAGCCATTGACGTACTACTCATTTTAGCAAAAAATCGAGCATTACCTTTCTTTTTAACAATAATAACAGCAAGTTTTGGTCTAAAATATTATAAGTAATTCATTATTCATTTTTAAAGATTATTTTACTGATATCCAGGCATTATTTTAGGAAATGTATCAATAATTTGTGGTAATTCATGTTCAGCAACAATAGCTAATTGACCATCTGAGACACCATCTCGATAAAGTACAACTAAATGAAACAAAAAAGAAAAATTTATTCATGATTTTTATTTCTATTTTCGTTACTTTTTTCCGGTAGTGCATTATTCACTCGATGATATTCCTTTAATGAATCTAAATCAAATAATTGAATATAATTTATTAAAAAAATTTATTTCACCCCTCATGCATTGTTGTAAACCATCCATTAATTCTTGTGCTGTACGATTATAAATAACTCGTGAATAGAAACGAGTACATGTGATATTTGTCGAAGCAACAAATGCGCCTACACTAGCACCTAAAAACAAATACATTTACAGTACTGAATAAAAAGTCTTCCACAGCAAATCTCAACTTCCATACATGCATACATACAGGAGGTCTGGAAATTTGTGTACACATACTCCACTAAGAATGTAGGTCAGAGACATGAGATCAACCTGATAGCTTAAATGCAACGAGAATTATGATGGACGGTGTCTGTTTTTCCTTTAAGCTTTTTAATCTGAAAAAATTGTCTATGAAATTTTGCATTACCTTTTATTAAATACATGATTAATTCTTGATATTTTTATTTGCAACTGAAGTCTAGTATATGGTCTTTCGTCACTCAAAATATTATATAATTTGCTGCAAGATTGTTGCCTTTGGATGTCTTTGAATCCTCCACATCAACACGATGATTATTAGTATGCTGTTTTCTTTTAGAAGAAAGTTCTTTTCAGAAATATAAAGGAGACTCTGATCTATATTATTGATGGATTATGTGTATATAGATTTTCAAACCACCAGTATCTATAGTAACTGAGATCTGATAGGAAGAAGCTTTTGTCGACTATTGTATTTTTTGTTTTCAATATATAAAAATACTAAATTAACCTTTTCGTTTTGAATCATGATATGAATCCATGCCAATAACCATTAATGTTTTTGACTAAAAATTTAAATAAAAATTATTTTTTTGTTTTTAATATATTCAAAATAATATTTCATTTACAGGTATAGTTACACCCCAAATTTCACCACCAAGTTTTGCATTTAATTGAATACCAATTTTCGTAGCAACAGACATTAATTGATTTTTTTTTGAAATTGTTTTTGCTAAAACCATCTAATTACACAAACGAAACAATTAATCAATCAATCAAGTGAACATAAAACATTGAAAAAAAACATATCTCACTTGAGAAGGTACTGGATTATCAAGACACATGTATTTTTTTAGAGCATCATATCGATCTTTACGATTATTTGGTAATACACAAAGAACAAGATCGGTATTTTTTTGAATTTTTTCTGGTAATGCACCTAAATATGTTTCAGGTCGATCATTTGGTAATTGAATTCTATTTCAAAGAGACAAAAAAAAAAT